TGCCATCTGCTGCAGGGCCCTTGCAGCAGAGATACAATACATGGCAACATCAATAGCACAACTACAACAATAAGCAAAATCATTAATCCTGTTTTTATCAAAGATAGCAACCATCCTGACAGTCCCCATTCTTTAAACAATCTATTCAACCAGTCCCACCCATCAGTGATTTGCAGCTTCTTTACCCCGCCTTTCAAAAGCTGTATACTTTTATGTATTGATTCATAATGATCTGACAAATTCATACAACACATTCCTTTTAAGTCTTCACATCCATGTCCTTAGGTTAACAACAAAAAATCTATTACAGCACGGTTTTGTAAAGTCGCATGTCACACAGAGTCTACATCTAAGAGCAAACAAGTCAAGGCTATAAAAGTAGTGTTTGTTTGCTTGCTCAGCCAACAACCTAATTATTTATCTTTGTTAAGGCAATTCCTGGAGCAAGAAAGAAAGCGGCGATTATTTCCCCTGGGCTCCAAAATGTAACATAGTCATCACAGTCTGATGTAAAAGGGTGTGTTGAGCATTTGTATCGAGGCTGCTTATGTCTCCTAGCTAAAATCATAGACATATTAGGGGTCAAAAGTGTCAGCCGTCCCAAAGTGCATGGACCTCCCTTGATGTGGGATGGAATTGCATGCCAGGCAACATGTAACAAAAGGATTACTCGGGGAAGAGGTAGCAAGACAGATGGAATCCTGATCAGTTATATTGGCAAAAGTTACCCACACATTTGTCTTGGGTTGTGGCACCATCCATGCTTCATTATTGTGTGCAGCAGTCCACAACAGGCCCAACACAGCGAGCAGGAATCCACCGAGGCCCATTATCTGTTGAAACACAAGCATAACCTCTACCCCAGGTTAATAATTCACATGGACCTGACCACTGTCCACTCTGGAGGTCCTTCACCCTAACTTTAATTCCTGCAGAAACAAGCGTAGTCGATGTCAAAGATGTGAAGTGGCAAAGCATTGGCAGATTCTGCAATTCATCTGGAATAGTAAAAAATTTAACACATACAATGCCTTGTTCAGTTGGGCTTCAGGTGTTTCCTCAGACATTCCCCCTTTTTGTTTTTGCAGAAGTTGTTTGAGCATTCCGTGGGCACATTCCACAGTCCCCTGGCTGGTGGGAGAATGAGGAATTCCCGTGACATGGGTGACATCCCATGTGCATAAAAATGTTCACACCTTTTCAGATACATAGGCTGGGCTGTTATCAGTTTTTATTTTTTGTGGGACGCCACATATAGCAAAGGCCTTCTGCCAATGCCATATAACATCTTTGGCTGTTTCTTCTGTATGTGCAGTAGCAAGAATAACGGAGGAGAAAGTGTCAATAGACATGTGTACATGCTTTAATTTGCCAAATTCTGCCACGTGTGTTACATCAGTCTGCCAAATTTGGAGGGCCTGTAAGCCCCTAGGATTGGTGCCGTAAACTGTTGGAAAATGTTGCCCCTGACAATCAGGGCAGGAGACAACAATATCGAGCTTCGGCATTGGAAAGGTGAAATTGCCGTTCGAGGGCATGATAACCTTGATGAAAAACTGATGTGAAGAAATTGCCTGTTGTCTGGTGTTTGGAACCAGCCCTAACACAACGGCAGACACCAATTGATATCAATAAACACAAGTGCTTGTAATGATACAGATAAATCAATGCGCCAAACATGTCTTTCTTGAATGGCTTGCTCTACCATTTCAATTACACATTTGACATCTGAAGTCAAAATCCTGGATGCTGCAATATCTACATCTCCTTCTAGCAAGTCTACTAAAGGCTGTAGTTGTGATGATGACGGAACTAAAAAAGTTCTCATCCAATTTATGACATCAACTAGCTTCTGAACATCATTGAGTGTTTTGACATTAGTCACCAATTTAATTGCTTGGGGTTGTACTGTTCTATTAAGTACTTTCATTCTCAAGTAAAGCCAAGGTTGGGTATTTTGTATCTTTTCAGGAGCAATAACTAGGCTGTAATCCTCTAATGCTTGCCTAGCTTCACGCTCCATGTGGTCCAAGAGTGCAGGTGTTGCAGCAGCCAACAGAATATGTGGAGTGGCTGGAAGAAAATAGGCATGTTGTGAGCGGTTCAGACCGAGGGGCCTCACAACTGCAGCTGTTGTGAAGGACATATGCAAAGTCGAAAGAGACAGTGAAATTGGGGTTTTGAGAAACTGTCTATGTTGCAGAGAGGTAAGGAGAATGGAATGTAAAACAAGATAACAAGAGGGAGATACAGAATGTAGGTATGGCAGAACAAGGCACATGAACAAGCAGCTTTAACCTATTAGCAACCAAAACGTAACGCGTGTGCTTTGTGCTAGTGTGTAAATCGCTGTGTATCCTTTAATAAAGTGGCATTAACTTGATCACATTGATCGTGCATTTTGTGTCCGACAGTTCCGCGTCAAGAATATCATCCATATAATGGTAACAATAACATTCAAGGTATTTTTGTCAAACAGGGCTCAAATCTTGGGCTACAAACCATTAACATACAGTAGGTGAATTTTTCATTCCTTGAGGTAACACTTTCCAATGATAGCTTTTTGTAGGTTCTACATGATTGATTGACGGGACTGTGAAAGCAAAATTTTCCCTGTCCTTTTTATCCAATGGGATCATAAAAACCCAATCCTTCAGATCCATTACTACCACATTCCATTGCATGGGAATTATTGTAGGGGAAGGCAAACCCAGTTGTAAAGCCCCCCATTGCTGCCATCACCTCTAATTTTTTGCAGGTCATGCAGCAATTGCCATTTCCCCAATTTCTTTTGTGTAACAAAAACTGGGGTGTTCCAAGGGCTATATGATTCCTCAATATGGCCTGCTATTAACTGTTCCTCTACTAACATTCACAGGGATGTAAGTTTCTTGGTTTTTGAGGGGCCACTGATCCACCCACACCGGTTTATCCATAAGCCATTGTAATGCCATTGTCGGTCTTTTGACACCCTGAAAGACAGTGTCCCCTATGGAAAATCTGTGGTTATACGGACTCCCCTTTGCCTCAAGCAGTCTCGTCCCCACAAGTTTAGGGGTGCAGCAGTGACATAGGGTCAGACAGTGGCCTTTTGTCCTTCAGAATTAGTAACGAGTACAGGTTTAGCAGCCATAAAGCTGGTTGCCGTGCCTCCCAACCCCGTCACCCCAGAGGTGGTGGATACCACAGGCCAGAATTAGGCCAGTCCCATTGAGCAATAATAGTAACATCCACTCCTGTATCCAACAACCCAGATACCTGGGACATATTTGGTAAGGCACTGTCCATGGCAAGAGTGCACTTCATCTGATAAAGTCCATGATCAGAGGACTTGAGGTTTACCAGTAGATCCGAAGCCTCCAGACCTGCAAATCACTTATTCTGTCCTGGGAACACAACTCTTAAAAGGCACCAGTTGAGCAATTGGAACATTTTTCTCTATTGTTACAGGGGGTATTGCAGTAGAAACCATTGCACAAATTTGTCCTTCATAATCTGCATCTATGACTCCCACATGAACCATAATTCCTTGCAATGTGATGCTAGAGTGCACAATTAATAATGCACTCAGTCCATGTCCAATGGGCCCCCAAGCATTTAAAGGGACTTTGTGCACACCTCATGTACTTACAGTTACTGTGTCGGCAGTGGATACATCCATCCCTGCTGATCCTCTGTTTTTTCCCGACAAGAGGTCGCATAAGCTTGTGGCTGTTGGGTCACTAGATGACGTGATTGTGCAAGAAATGGGCTGTTCCCGGGGTTGGCAGGTATTTGTGCCTCCATGCACCTTTTCAAGCTCGTTTTCCCGTTTCCCTGTTGCAGGGGTTGCCCACTCAGGTGAAATTTATATCGGCATTTGTAGGTAGTCAGGGCCTGGCGGTCGGAAGATATCGCTGTCGGGGGCAGCCTGGTCTCTCCTTCTAGCAGCGAGACAGAGCTGATTAGGAAGGACGTGCTCAACTTGGCGTCTCGTAACTTGCACAATCTGTAAACAGACTGTCACAACCCTGGAGCCAAGGACGATTTATTCCTGGAGGGCTGGTTTCGTAACTAAAGATAAGCTTGTGCTATAGAAACAAGATGTAGGAGTAGAAGTTAAACAAGAGGAAGAATGCTGTGAGCTAGCAGAAAATTAACTGCAGAAAAAGTCAAGCTGACCTTAGACATTAGCCAATTATGAGCTCAATTTTTGCAATATGTATTAGGTGATTAACCATTGTGCCAATCAGCTTAAAACACACGTCTCTCTTTGTCTGTTTGGAATATAAAAGCGGTTGTTGTGTTCAATAAAGTGGATCCTGCCTTGCATCGAGCTGGGTCTCCGTCTCTCAATCGCGGCAAATTGGTGACCCCGACGTGATTCGGGATTAAGAACCACCTATCTGCGTGGCATGCTGCGAGTCCCACAGAACTTTGAATGAGCTGCTGAAAGGAAGCAGGAGCCGGCATTAAGAATCCCTCCGGAGTTGTGAGGTGAGCTGTGGGAGACATGGGAAGTCAAGTCTCTTCCCCAGAGAGGGACGTATATGAACTTATGAAAGCCCTTCTTAAAGAGCATGAAAAGAATCTCTCTGGGCAAGATCTTAAGGCTATGCTTAAGTGGGTACAAGTGAAAATCCCCACTGTAACTGCTTGCAGTATATTTACGACTGAGCTTTGGGATGATGTGGGAGTTAAGCTGTGGGACGCGGCTACAACAGGGAATGCTGAAGCACAGCGCATGCTCCCGTGGTAGGACTATCTTTGAAACTCTGAAGGCTCAAGAGACTGTTAAGAATAAAGACACTAAAGACAGGAAAGGTCTCCCGGTCGATAAGAAGACCTCGGAGCCTCCTGAGGTGGGTGCCGCCGAGTACCCCCCAGAGGATGATCCTTTTGATCCAGGACCAGTTGACCCAGAGGAGGAGCCAGATCTCTACCCTCCCGATCCCCAGGACGTATGGGCGAATATTAAACGACAGGCTCTGAAAGAGGGGGATTTGCAACTTGCAAAAAAAATAGTCGCTCCTGTTATCTATCAGGGGAGGGGGGCTCAATGGGAGGCATTATCCTTCCCTGTGGTGAAGGAGTTGCGCCGTACTGTTACCGAGCATGGCCTCTCTTCCCCATATTTCGCGAGTTTGTTATCTTCTGTCTTAGATTCTTATGTCATGACTCCGCATGATCTCAAATCTCTCGCACAGTTGCTGTTAACCCCCACACAGTATTCGCTATGGGAGTCGCAATGGGGGAGGGGACTCCAAACGCTTTTACTAACCTATGTGGGCCATAATAATCCTGCTCTTGCTGCATTAACTATTGAGCATCTTACGGGTACTGGCCAGCACACGGACCCGGTGGCTCAGGCGAGGGATATTCCGCGGGAAGCGCTTGAAGCCACGCGGAATGAAGCAAAGAAGGCTCTGCTTAAAATACCTGACTCTCAAAAGCCACAAAAGGCTTTTACTACCATTACTCAGGAACCTCGGGAGCCTTATATGCAATTTATTGACAGATTAAAACAAGCCTTAGAGCGCCAGATAGATAATGTGGAAGCGCGGGAAATTCTGTTGTTAAAGTTAGCAGTGGAAAATGCCAATGCAGATTGTAAGAAGTTATTGAAATCTCTTCCGAACCCTAATCCCTCTCTCGTGGAAATGGTGGAAGCCTGTAATAGAATTGGCACCGTAGATCATAAATTTGAAGCGATGGCCGCTGCTTTTGCTGCCATGCGTGGCACAGCTGGCCCCGGGGTTTGTTATGGCTGTGGCAAGCCTGGCCATTTGAAAAAGAATTGTATAGCTGCTACATCTGGAGCCAAGCCCCAGGCACCGGGGATTTGCCCTAGGTGCAGGAGGGGGCGCCATTATGCTAACCAATGTCGCTCTAAGTATGACTCCCAGGGACAACCGATACAGGGAAACCGATCGCGGAGCGCGGGACGGCGGCGCGTGCAGACACAAGTTCCGCAGTTAACCCCTCCGCTGCCGCAGAGGGATACGACAGTGCCTCAAGCCTTCACCCAGCCACAGCCGGGAGCGCCGGCCTGGACCTGGCAACCAGCCACACAGTAACGGTACTTGACTCCTCGGTTCATTTATTGTCAACAAACATTACGGGGCCTCTGCCCCCAAATACACAAGCATTATTACTGGGGAGGTCTTCTACGACCCTGTCGGGACTCTTTGTATTACCAGGGGTTATTGATTCTGATAGTACCAATGAAATTAAAATTATGGCATGGACCCTGTTCCCTCCCTGCACTATACCTAAGGGCAGTCGTATAGCGCAGTTGATTTTAATACCTAAAGGAACGGAATCCCCCATTGTTGCCCAACCTCAACAAAGGAAAGGGGGCTTTGGGTCAACTGGTGACCCGCAAATTTTGTGGGTACAGTCTATTTCACAAAAACGGCCCGTATATCAATGTACTCTTATCCGCAGGGAACAGCGGGTGATATTGAATGGGATCATTGACACAGGGGCCGATGTTACGGTGATCTCCCAGGCTAAATGGCCCCCAAATGGCCTCTGGCCAATGTTTCTCAGACCTTAGCAGGGATTGGGGGTGCTGGAAATAGTCACCAGAGCCTAGAGCTCATTCAGATACTGGGCCCGGAGGGGCATGTGGCCTCTGTTAAGCCCTTTGTGCTACCTGTGCCTATGATCTTATGGGGACGTGATGTACTGTCACAATGGGGAATGGCTATTCAAACGCATTTTTAGGAGGGGCCATTGAGGTGCGCGACACCCTGAAATTAACCTGGAAAACTAATACCCCTGTCTGGGTGGATCAATGGCCCCTGCCGCTAGAAAAGCTTCGCGCCCTGGAAGAATTAGTTGATGAACAGTTATCCAAAAGACATGTTGTGCCCTCTGTAAGCCCCTGGAATTCACCTGTTTTTGTGATTAAAAAACAAACTGGCAAGTGGCGCTTGCTCCATGACCTCAGAAAAATTAATGACGCTATGGAAGACATGGGAGCCCTGCAACCAGGGCTCCCTTCTCCCACAATGATCCCCCGGGACTGGTCTCTGACAGTCATTGACCTCAAGGACTGCTTTTTTAATATCCCTTTGCATCCAGAAGATTCTCCTAAATTTGCTTTTTCAGTTCCAAGCGTCAACATGCAAGCTCCATTGCAGAGATATCAGTGGGTTGTGCTACCACAAGGAATGAAAAACAGTCCCACGATATGCCAATGGTATGTAGCCAAGGTCCTTAGCCCTGTTAGAACAAAGATGCCCTGCGTTTTATTGTACCATTATATGGATGATATTCTAGTGGCAGCACAACATCACGAAGTCATGGAGGAAGCTGTAGCCCTTGTCATAACTGCTGTTAATTCAGCAGGTCTTTGTGTTGCGCCGGAAAAGGTTCAGAAAATACCACCATGGAAATATCTAGGCTGGCGCATACGGGCTCAAACTATAGTCCCACAGCCTTTACTAATTCAAGCAGATGTGAGGACTTTGCATGATGTGCAGAAGTTGTTGGGAACAATTAATTGGGTCCGACCTTTGCTAGGAATTTCCAATGCAGATTTAAGTCCTTTATTCGACCTGCTTAAGGGGAGCACAGACTTATGTTCCCCTCGTGCTCTCAACCCTGCAGCTGTTGATTCCTTACAAAAAGTTGCTACAGCTATTACCTTAAGACAGGCACATCGATATGCCCCTGAGTTACCTTTCCTTTTAATCATTTTGAATCCTGCTCGACAGCCTCATGCCTTGATATTTCAATGGGACTTGCAGGAGTCTGACCCGTTGCTTATCATTGAATGGGTATTTTTACCGAATCAACCCACGAAAACCATCTCAACACAGCATGAAATGTTTGCATCCTTGATTGTCCGTGCCAGGCGGCGCTTGTTAATGTTGTCTGGAATGGACTTCACTTGTATTTATTTGCCTATGGTCAGTGATTATTTGCAGTGGCTTCACCAACAATCGGAAGCCTTCAGTATAGCGATAGCTGGTTATACAGGCCAACTCACTTCTCACCCACCTTCTCATAAATTGTTTAATGCTAATTTCCAGCTTGTACCTAGACCAAAGAGGAGTGACCAGCCTTTGCAAGCTCTTACTGTTTTTACAGATGGATCTGGGAAGTCCCATAAATCTGTTATCCTCTGGTGGGACGACCAGCGCAAACAATGGAATCGGATATAAAGACAGTGCCGGGTTCCCCCCAAATCGTGGAACTGACTGCCGTCGTCCGAGCCTTTAGAAAATGGTCTACACCGCTTAATATCATCACTGATTCAGCTTATGTTGCAGGGATTGTTGAACGAGCTGAGGCGTCTGTGTTACGAAATGTCTCACATTTTGCATTATTTGCTTTGTTACAGGAACTTATTTTTCTTTTAGATTCTTGCATTCATTCCTATTTCATTATGCATGTCAGATCTCACACTTCCTTGCCTGGTTTTATAGCGGAAGGGAACCGGCAAGCTGACCTGCTTACATTACCGGTACAGGTACTGCCAGACCGCATAGCACAAGCAAAACTCAGCCACGCTTTCTTTCACCAAAATGCTGGTGGGCTTAAGCGACAATTTGGCCTTACTACTCAGCAGGCAACCAGTATAGTTGCTGTGTGTCCCGATTGTCAAAGGCACTCATTTCCTACAATAGCAGGAGAGTTAATCCTAGAGGATTGCAAAGTTTGCAACTGTGGCAAACCGATGTCACTCATTTTTCGGAGTTTGGTCACTTAAAATATATTCACTCCTCTATTGATACCTTTTCTGGGGCATTATTTGCCTCTTGTCATACTGGCGAAAAGGCGCGCGATGTTCAACGACATCTGCTGCGTGCTTTTGCCACTTTAGGCATACCCTCTCAAATTAAAACTGACAATGGCCCTGCATATATTTCAACTGCAATTAAAAAGTTTTTGAGTTCTTGGGGGATCAACCACATTACGGGTATCCCTCATTCCCCCACGGGCCAATCCTTAATTGAACGCTCTCATCAGTCTCTAAAACGCTTATTGCAACAACAAAAAGGGGAGTAGGGACCGTTACCCCCGAGGAACGTCTTCAGAAAGCTTTATATGTTTTTAATTTTCTGAATTGTTCTTTGATAGACAGTAATCCTCCCATAGTCCGTCATTTTAATACGAATGCTTCGCTCGAACTGCAAATCAAGCCGCCTGTGCTGATCCGAGATCCAGAAACAGGTACAGTCATGGGACCTTATCCCCTATTACATGGGGTAGAGGTTATGCTTGTGTTTCTACAGAGAAGGGGCCTAGATGGATTCCCGCGAAGAGCGTACGACCTTTTCGTGAACCCCTGCCACAACCAACTGGAGAGGGACCGGAGTGCTCCAATCAGAATTTTGGACAGCAGACAGAAGAACTGCCCGGAAACATCACAACTGAAGAAGGAATTACATGAATAAGTATTGAGAACTGTCCATTGCAGAAATTACCTGTGGTTCATGTGAAAACTGTGAAAACTGTGACCCTTGGGTTTTGTGTGAATGTTATACTTGTGCGAAAAAGTGGATTTTTGGTCTTTCAGTCAGCGTTTTGCAGCCTCGTTGTTCCTGCCCGGAGCTGCTGCTGGCAGAGCTTTAGCAACTCTAGACAAACTAGGCTGCTGGCTTGCAAAACAAACTAGCGCTACAAGTCAGGCACTGTCTGGTCTCTTATTAGATGTGGATAGCGTTCGCCATGCTACATTACAAAATAGGGCCGCTATAGATTTTTTGCTTTTAGCTCAAGGTCATGGTTGTGAGGATTTTGACGGTATGTGTTGTATGAATCTTTCAGCAACTCAAAGAGGGGGTTTCCAAACTTCACCAAGAAGATAGTTGGGATTGGCTGGATAAACTGTTTGGAGGCTGGGGCCTATCAGGATGGTTGAGAAGCCTTGTAAAAATGATTGTGTATGCTTTAGTCGTTTTCATTTTTTTTACTTTGTTTACCCTGTTTTTTGCAGTGTGTGCAGAACCTGATAGCCAGCTCAGTGAAAAGGATCCTTGTTGTGCAACAAGAAGGGGGATGTCGGGGGCAGCCTGGTCTCTCCTTCTAGCAGCGAGACAGAGCTGATTAGGAAGGACGTGCTCAACTTGGCGTCTCGTAACTTGCACAATCTGTAAACAGACTGTCACAACCCTGGAGCCAAGGACGATTTATTCCTGGAGGGCTGGTTTCGTAACTAAAGATAAGCTTGTGCTATAGAAACAAGATGTAGGAGTAGAAGTTAAACAAGAGGAAGATGCTGTGAGCTAGCAGAAAATTAACTGCAGAAAAAGTCAAGCTGACCTTAGACATTAGCCAATTATGAGCTCAATTTTTGCAATATGTATTAGGTGATTAACCATTGTGCCAATCAGCTTAAAACACACGTCTCTCTTTGTCTGTTTGGAATATAAAAGCGGTTGTTGTGTTCAATAAAGTGGATCCTGCCTTGCATCGAGCTGGGTCTCCGTCTCTCAATCGCGGCATATCGCGTTGTACGGAAAGATAGGGCCCCTTTTTCTGATACCCCGATAGCCAATAGTAATGTAGCAGTGATGTAAGCAGACGGAAGTGACGTTGTAAACCCAAGCTATATAAGGCCTGTATATTCCTCAATAAAACGCCATTTGCCATCCACACATTGGTGTCTGTGAGCTGATGGCCCAGCGGCCTGGGGTTGGTCGCCGTGCCGTTCCTGAACCAGGTCGCCGCGCCTCTGAAAGGCAACAAGTGGTGCCGAAACCCGGAATCTCCTGGAATCGGGTGAATGGCGGCCGAGCGGCAGGACCAGCCCGGCGGGGAGGACGCTCCCGGACCAACAAGGAGGATGGAAACCCTTGTGAAGGTCGTATTACAAATTCATAAGCAGTGGGGGATTGATTGTAAACCCAAAGATTTTACTCTCGCTGTAGAGAGACTTTTAAAAATTGGGGTCATTGACCAGCCGATTGATATCCTCCACCCTGAAGTGTGGGATAAATGCGCTAAAGCATTAGCCGAGGGGACAGTGTTCTCGGGAAGTGGGAAAAACCTTAAGGCACGGGGGAAAGTCGTACAGGCCTTACAGAAGGCCTTGCAAGAGCAGGAGACCTGGAGGGCGGCAAGGGACTGTTTGCAAACCACTCCGAAATTGGGAGTCAGGGTGGCTACACAGACTTCGTGCCCTCCAGATAGTGACAATCCTGCTGAGCCTAAGGACCTGCGGGAGAGCGATGCACCCCCCCAATCCCCAAACCCTGACCCACTTACGGAGGAGGAGAAACGAGCAAAGTCCTTTTGGGGTGGGCTAACCGAGGAAGCTAGGGGAGCCGCAGAGAAATCAGAATCTGGGGAAATCTGGCCCACACCACCACCCTATGTGCCTCAAAATGGTGCTGAGCACAAGAGGGAAGGGCAGGGCAAAGATGTTTTCAGCGGGAAAAGGGAGGAAGTGCTAGAACTAACGAGCGTGCGTGAAAGGGAAGGGGAGGAGAATGAGGGAGAGTCGAGGGAGGGAACGGCCCGCCTGCAAGGGCAGTGGGCAGGGCCGGAGCCCAACGAGAAGGCACTGGAGCCCGGCAGTGACCAGTCAGTCTAGCTCCGGCTACAACTCAGACAGTAGCTGGGAAGAGCGGCTTGCAGCAAAAACAGTGAGGATTGGAAGAAGGGTGGATAGGGCTAAAAGCCAGCATACCTCCACCCAAATTAAAGAAGAGCCACAAGGGGAACACCTCCCTCTCATGGACTGGAGGAAGATAAAGATAGCATGCGCCAACTGGGCCCCTTCAACCCCGCTGGCGTTCCCGGTCCAAGTGACAGATGGGGGACAGAGGGTTTACTCACCAATAAACCCTAAGGATATACAAGCAATTGTTAAAGCAATTGCGGATAAAGGGCTTAACTCTGCCACGGTCTCCACCCTCATAGACAGTGTCTTTGGGGTAGACGACGTGCTCCCATTTGGTATAAAACAAACCTGTAGACTGATTTTTGATGGGGCAGGGATGATTGTTTTCAAACAAGAATGGGAAGATAACTGTGCAAGGCAGCTAGCCCAAGTAACTGGGGCGGATCACCTGTTACACGGCTCCAGCCTGCAAAGGTTAATGGGTACAGACCCAACTATGATTTACCCCCCAGGCGCAAGCTCAGGGCCTGCGGGCCCATGAGGTTTTGACAACTACTCGTGCGGCCAGAGAAGCTATTCATACAGCTTCTACAGTCATCGCCAAACCATCGCCATGGGCCACAATAAAGCAAACTGAAAGCAAAAGCTTCACACATTTTGTGGATCGCCTCCAAGCAGCGGTCGACTCCTCGTCCCTACCTGCAGAAGCAAAAGGCCCAGTTGTAGCAGAGTGCCTACGCCAGCAGGGTAATTCAGCAACTAAAGAAATCTTGGATCATTGCCGGTGGGGTCAAGCATCGCGAACATGATTAAGCATGTCGTGAAGGAAGAGCATTTAGCCCCAATCCAGGCGGCTGTTTGCACTGCAATTGCTAATGTGATGGCATGTTTTAAATGTGGCCAGGCAGGTCACGTCGCAGCAAATTGCCCTCGATTGGGGAATCTGCCAACAGCACTCCCTTCGCGCCAAAACTGGCCCAGAGGACCGTGTTGGGCCTGTGGAAAGAAAGGACATTTCGCCAAGGAGTGCAGATCTAAAAGTCAGGGAAACGGGAAGGGGAGAGGGCACCTGGGCCGCGCACTGCCCTCTCCCACCTGGAACACAAGGCGGCCCAACTCTATGCCGATCAACAATTATGTCAACCCCGGATGGAGCGAGGTCCCCCAGAACCCACTGCCCCCTTGAGAAGCAACCAACTCTATGGTTCAACTGATGATCCAGCCGAATCTGTCCCTATCTCAGGGGCAGCAAAGACCACCCTTTGGGGGCGAGACCCCAGGGTGGCCCTGGCAGTAAAGTGTGATAACCCGCCAGTGGTGTGGGGGATCTGTTCCCTTTATAATACCTCAAATGATACCACCATTAATGTTCCCTTCTTGATTGACACCGGAGCAGATGTTACAGTTATCCCTGAGACAAACTGGCCCCTGTATTGGAAATTGGAAAACGCCCCCCTGGTGGGTGGAGTCGGAGGACTAACCCGGGCTCGAAGAGTGCCCAGTTGGTAGCAATAACGCTTCACACTGAAAAAGGACCGGAAAAAACTATTACCCTCTTCCCATATGTCATGCC